AGTTTCCATTCCTGTACAAATCAAACTGCATGCCTAACATTTAATGTATCTCTGTCTGCTGTGCAACCGATAGACCCAAGCAGTTTTGAGATGGAGGCTCCCATCATGATTTATTATTACTTACATTGTAATCATTTTCATTTATGAAGTACACTGCCCTCAGGAGCATTTCAGAGAATTATTTATGTCCAAGGTCTGATCATAAATATATTTTCTCTTTCGTTCATAGGAGGACACAGTTCTACTATACCAACTGGGTATATGTTAATTAAAGCACAAAAGGCAGCCCCTGCTGCTGGCCAAATCCCCCATCACAGCTGTGGACAACTCTGTAATATATCATAGCAATGCAAATAAGAACAGAGTATTTACACATACAGGCAGCAGTAAGCCAGAATGCCATGTGCTGTGTCCTCCAGTAAACACAGATAAAACAATTTTTAGGGGAAAATCCTATTTTTCTGTCTTTCACAAATTTTTTTTTCTTTTCTAAATGTTTCGTTTATTCTAACTGCTTATGATTCCCAGCCACTGCTTTCACAGAGCTCTAATGGCTCTGGATGTTCGTGTGCTAATAACTCATCAGTGCGCAAACTATTCATCTTTAACATCACAAAATAGTATCTACCTACCTATCACTGTATGTATGCCTTACTCACTGATTATCTGGGGAGAAAACAGTTCTGGTTCCTTCTAGTCCAATTAACCTGGCATTTCATTTGTTGTTTGTTCTGTAATATAAAGGCAAGCTTCAAGTGTCCCAGGGTATGGTGGCCCTTTCTCTTTTGGTTTGGTGCTTTTGTTTGTGGTTTTTTTTATTTTCTTTTTTCTTCTTTTTTAAATAATTTAATTATACAGTAATGCTGGGTAATAGCATGTCCATTGTGGAACTATGCTATTCGTGTTCACGCTGTTGCTAGTATTTTAAAGGGGACATGTACTTATGAAAATACAGAAGCTACCACTGCAGAATGTCGCATGAAAATGCCAGTTACTAGGCAGCCACTGTAAAGGTGCCCATGCACCTGCCGATTATCGTACGATAACCGTGGGAAATCCCGCGATCGTACGATAATCGGCAGGTGTATGGAAGGCGTGCGACCGTTTCTACTGTACGGTCGCACGTCTTTTGTCTTACGAGCAGGTTTGTGTCCTGCTGGTAAGACAAATGCCGCACGGGCCGGTGTGCGCAAGCGCACACTGCCCGTTCAGCATTGCAGTAATTGGAAGCCCGCCCCTCAGCAGGGCGTTCTTGCGATGATCGCAAGTACGATCTGCCTGTCCAAGATGGGCAGATCGTACGAAATTTTAATGACCTTACAACCATTGCAAGACAAAAGTCTTGCGATGGTTGTAAGGTGTATGGCCAGCTATACTGTGAATTTAGTGCTTCCCGAGACACTGTACTTGAAATAATAATGCCACCTGTGCCTTATTTGCATAATCAGATCAGTGACTGGGAAATAAATGAACCCATGTGATCAGCATAGGAGGCCAGCAATTACATCAAGTAAAGGCAAATGACAGTTTTTTGCAAATTAAAGAATTAAGCAAAATGCATCTCCTTGTCATGGTCCTTTTGTAGTAAATGTTTCTCATCTGATGTTTTCTACTTTACCCAGAGTCTTAGTGAAGAGATTGTTAATAGAAAGAGGAACGTGGACCAAGCAGTTAAAAATGGACAGGCTCTGCTGAAACAAACAACAGGTAATGAGTGGTCCAGAGTAAGTTTTAAAGTGGATCTGCAGCCAAAGCAATTGTTCATACTGTGGGTAGGCGTGATTTTCTTTTACTTCCCCCGTGGCCATAGTACAGGAAGTGAGTGGAATCTCTAACAGGGAAACGGATTACAGAAATAACAGTTTGGTTTAGTAGGGAAGGGTTTATCCCTCTAAATGTTTTGGCTGATGTTCCACTTTATTGCAGACAGAATTATGTGTAATAATAATGATCACTGTGTGGGCTGGCAGTGAAGTTCCCTGTTGCTGTTATTGTGTTGATTTCATTGTAGGTGAAGAGGTCCTCCTGATCCAAGAGAAATTGGATGGCATCAAAACACGTTACTCTGACATCATAGCATCAAGCGGGAAGGCTCTGAAAACACTGGAACAGGCCCTGCAATTGGCCAGCAAGTTCCAAACAACCCATGAAGAACTTACCAACTGGCTTGGACGGGTGGAGGAAGAACTGGCTCAAACAAGTGGACAGTACCCTGCTGGAGAACAGATTCCACAATTCCAGCAACGGCAAAAGGTTATGAACTTGTTCTACTGCAATGTGATAAAGCACCCTTAGAAATATCCTGGCTGCTTATTTGTAGTCCTAATTTTACGTCTTTTCCATAATTGCACTTTTATGCAAGCCGTTGCTAAAATTTAATTTTATTTCAGGAGTTAAAGAAGGAAGCTATGGAATATCGCATTGTCCTTGATACTATAAATGAAGTTGGTAGTGCCTTATTGGAGCTGGTACCCTGGAGAGCAAGGGAAGGTTTAGACAAGCTTGTCTCGGATGCCAATGAGCAGTATAGATCCGTCAGTTCCACTATTGCACACAGAGTGGATCAGATTGATGCTGCTATTCAAAGATCACAGCAGGTAAATGCTCAAGTCCCTGCCCTAGAAATAAGCACTTATTTAAAAAAATGCCAGACACCCACCTAATTAATTACATACTTTGTACACAGAACTGAAGGGGGTTGACTTATCTGCTTACATCCATAGGTGGATTATGTTAGTCACAGGCAGGCCTTGGACACATGTATGCTGGCTGGTCCTTTTCAGTTTAATAATATAGTGCATTGAGCAAAAAAGGCCACATCAGCTAGAGAAATGACACACTGAAACCAGAGGTATTGTAATACACATCACTTCTGCTTTCAGTGATGGGAGGGGAGATCAGCTGCTGGACATGTGCTAATCTCCTTCCAATCGAGGTACACAGGCCCACACAGGACAGCGGAGCCCAGGATAGCAGGCAGCGAAATGGGGCACACACTCCCCAACACCATACAAGCGATAGGGCAGGTCTATAGCAGCTCAAACCCTCGTATGGGATAGCCATCGCCAGCTTTAAAAGAAATATATACTCCAACATAATGGCTGCTGCTTTTTTTTGTTTAGCTAAGTTTAATGTTTGTGAAGGTATACATGTGAACTTGTATATCAAAGTATTTACATTTTTGTGAATGCTAGTGTGGTACAGTTTTCTCAGTAAATGCAAGTTTGGCACCAACTTGTCAAAGCATATAAAGCACAGCTGGAATTGTAGCCTTTCACTACATTCCATGCAATGCTGTCTTCCGTTTATTATGTCTTTGTGCATTCATTTTACTTCTATTTTTTAATATAGCTCTATCTTTGCTAGATTGATCTAATATCATGCGTTCTTTGAGGGCGGTTTATAGCATCTACTGAGTATCAGCTACCTTCATTTTGAAAATGTATAAGCTGAGGAGCTGTTAATACCTAGAGGCATCAGTCAAACAGCGTAGGTCCATTGACTGCTCTGCATCCTTTTAAGTAGCCCCACCACAGGTACACATAAATCATGGGCTATGTGCAGATTTAGGCATTTGTTTTAATGCTTCCAGTCTATGACTATGGATAGACTGAGACTAGAAAGGAAGAAGATTAACTAGTTTAATGATCAGATATGAATCAGAGAGGTAAGTCTTACACTTATTAGTTTTAGAGAGGGTAAAATCCCCTAAAGTAATTCATAATATTTAAGGCCATTTAAATGACAGCTCAATGTGTGTCATAGGATCAACTGGTGCTATCAGGCAATAGGTAATGAGTTATTACTGGTTCATCCCATCGAGCTCAGCCCTCAGAAGATGTGCATGCCTTTCAGTTCTCTGCTTCTTGTATAACTGCTTTTGTTTATATGTTCTAAAATGCCATAGCACTGTTTGATCTTTTTTTCCCTGATCACAGGGTGCTGAGAAGCAGTTGGTAGTTTTTGTGCAGTATGTTGTGTGGCTGCTTGCTTTGCATTTTCAGATCCAACAGCATATGTGTTGCCGTTATTTCAATTACTTACAGTTAATGCTAGTTAATCTTCTTGTTCTTGCACTGAAAGGTTTACCATTGTTATTTGGTGTATACACTAAGGCAGTGCAGAGAGCAGTGGCCTTGTGCAAAGAACAGTAATCTGTGACAGCCAACTAGATTTTAGTTTTTTATAGTCATATCAGTGAGATATGTATCTGGGCTAGTTTCTGTGTAGTTTACTTGCCATTACTGCTGTTCGCAATGCCTTATTTAGATATTTACTAAGGCTTAATCAGCCTTGGATCCTCAAAGCTAGGGTGCTCTATTATGCAAATACCAACTTCATTCCTGAAGGCAGTACCTGGCCTTGTTTTTTGCAGATCGGTATAGATCCATACTTCTGACCAAACAGTAGGGAGGTATGGAATGGCCCAAAGCCATTAGGTATTTGCATAAAAGAGCACTTCCGGTTTGTGCTGCTCAGGTTGCTAGCCCTACATGTGTGGAGGCAGCTGTATGTGCTTTTATCAATTCCTTGGAGAGGTTTGCAACTTTTGAAATGAATGAAAAAACAAAAAACTTTGAGTCTGCCTGTCCCCTTGCTACCTAAATTCAACACAGCTAAAAAGACCAACCAAATACTTGCCTATGATGCAAAACAGCCCCTCACCAGATCTGACAGGTGTCCTTATTCCAACTAGATTTTCCAACTGGCTCCTTCTGCCAGGTTGTTATTGCTCCCTGTGGCTCTGTTAGGAAATCTCAGTCTTTCTAATCTTTTTGATTACCAGTGTCACCAGTAGGGGCACTTGTTCCCATGACAAATGTCTTAGAGGGACTATTCCTCACATTGGAACAATATAATCTAATTTCCTGTTGAGTTACAGGACAGGAAGTGAAGGAAAACTTGCTAATGAGGCCCAGATGGCAAAAAAAAAAAAAAACTGACAACGCTTATAAGCTTCTCCTACTCTATCCATATGAAAACAAAAGTTTGGCTTTAGATATACTCTGGCCACAGCAAGCAATTCCATATTGCAGTGGGTGTATGAGAGGGGAACATTGTGGGTGATGTTGTTGCCTACATTGTATTAAGGGATTTTTCATTCTGATTCCTTTCCAGCAGCCTCTTTACACCATTCAGAAAGAACTGTTATTCTGTTGCCCTGATCGCACATCCATTTTAGAGAACAAAATAAAATAGAACTAGCTTACATGTAAAGGAAAAGAAAATATTTCTATCACTTTAATACAGTAAATAAACTTAGGATTCTATGTAGACTGGTAAACTGAAGTGATTTAAAAGGGGACTGCCACTTTAACCATAGCATTTTGTTGCAAGTTTTAATGTCCAATGGTGTCTGCAATGTATGCGCTTCATTGTCCTCCTCCGTCTTTGCTTCTTTCCTGCCAGTATGAGCAAGCTGCTGACGCAGAGTTAGCCTGGGTGGCTGAGACCAGGAGAAAACTTTTGGCACTTGGTCCAATCTGTTTGGAACAGGATCAGACCACGGCCCAACACCAGGTGCAGAAGGTACGATTAATGCCGATCCATCACTGAAAATAGATGTATGTTACTGTGGACCTTGTGCAGTGTCATTATTTTTAAAGAAATGATTGTTGTTAGAGAATAATGATTGTGCTTGTGGTGTTTGGAAGAGTACACTGTAAGAGGACTGTATGAATGTAGATTTACACAGACAGTTTATCAATGGGTACATAAAAACACTGCTATTCCAATCTCTTATCAGAAATGCTCAGTTTTTACATCTCAACAGATCAGATTTGGAGCCCTTTTGGGAAGGGGGTGGGCTTTTGTAGCACGATTGTTTGGACACATGCATGGTAAAAAAAATCTGGATTGTAGCCCACTTTTAATAATGTACCATTGCAGAGAGAGAGAGAGAGAGATGAGGTAAATGTTGAGCGCCATGTAATAAAAATCTAAGGCAGAAAATCCAGGACTTTTGAACATGGTTATCCTTATGTTTTTCCTTATGAAGTTGTGATCCTATATCTTTATAACTGAATACTGTTACTATGCAGGCATTCACTGTAGACATAATTCGTCATAAAGATTCCATCGATGAGCTGATCAGCACACAGGAAGAGATTCTGGGTACATGTGGGGATGAGCAGAAAGCCACTTTAAAAGTAAGTGATATAACTTTATGGCTTGTTGTTTGGTAACACTGAAGGTCAACTGTACTAAATCAAATTTTTTTTTTCCTAAAGGAAAAAACAAAGTCACTTCTACAACAGTATGAGGATGTGAGCCACTTAAATTCTGAGCGCTCTGCACGTCTGGAGCGAGCCCAGGTTTTACTGGGTCAGTTCTGGGAAACCTATGAGGAATTAAATCCCTGGATTGAGGAAATGCAGACCACCATTTCCCAGCTGCCACCACCGGCTGTTGACCATGACATGCTAAGGCAGCAGCAAGAAGAGATAAGGGTAGGTCACCTTAGTTTTTTGCTCACAATTTATGCTATTTATAGGACAGTCCAGAAGCAATGTTTGATTTCCCAAGACACAGGATGGCAATTAGACCAGTAATATCTCCTGGATCAAGCTCCAGAATGCAGTCAGTCTCATGACATTCACTGCCTGCCTCGTGAAACTTTCCATGCCATAAACTCTTGTCCTTTTGTCAAAGTTGTACATCACAAGTTTTTGTTTTTAAAAAAAAATAATTTTTGGAAAAGGGGAAAACTAATGTTTTACATTGACTGATTTGTTACATTTACAGCAACTGAGAGAATCAGTGTCAGAACACAAACCACACATTGACAAGCTGCTGAAGATTGGTCCTCATTTGTATGAGTTGAATCCTGAAGAAGGGGAAGCAGTCCAAGAAAAATACACTAAAGCCGAGAAGATATATGTGGCTATAAAGGAGGAAGTGCGCAAAATGGCCATGGCACTGGATGATGCACTTTCACAAGCCTCTCAGGTAGTTTAGTATGATATAGCTATGCTGTTTGTTTTGCCATTATAGATTAGCAGGTCGGTGGCACTGGATCTTCTACTATTACCTTCAATGTAGCCCTTGCAACCACCTAAAAATAAACATTAACATAGGTATTGTGTTGGTGTATAGTGCAGCCTTGTTCCCAGGGTACAATAGGAAAACTAATCGCTTTAAGGATGAGAGAAAAACTGTACAGGTGTGCTAATTATCATAGCCCTTGTATTGTCTAGGCACTGGTCATCAGTGTGCTATGTTTGTTACATTGAATAAGTATTCCCCATGTTCATTAATGGCCTTACAAGGTACATTTAAACTTTCTAATTGGTCCTTGATCATGACTGAGTCTACAGCCTACACTTAAACTGTGTATTTGAGTTGTGGAAAAATACCCATGCAGACACAAGCACAACATACTACCTTGTGTTAGTTAGTTTATGGAATTTGAACTCAAGACCCTAGATCTGCATAGACAGAGTGCAATGACTGCCCCAATGTTTGTGTCCATAAACACTCTGACAGTACAACTACATATTTATAGTAAGTGGAAAAAAATAATTACATGTGTTTCCAAGTTAAATTTCTGAATTTTGTCTGTGTATTAGGTGATCGACCTTTGCCCTGTACCTGATATCTTAATGATATACTTTATCCTTTGTAGACTCATATCCCATTAGTTCCATACACCAGACATTTGCTTGTTTCATGGTTTGCTCATGTGTCATCGTGTTTGCATTGTTGAGTTGCTGTGGTTCATGCTACACTAACCCCCCCATCTCTCCTCTCATTCACATCACCTCCCTTTCCTTGTGGAATGTGTTAACTTTCTGTTGTGCTGCCATGGTAACATGTCCTTGTCGGCCTGACTTCTCTGCATTTCAGATTGTGGAGGTAAGTGTCATCCTGCTTCATTAGTTTCTAACCTAAACCTTGCTATTGACTATTTACACTGAGCTTTCTTGTGCCATGCGTTTTGGGTGTATCTTTAGTCTCATTCCTCTTGTTCCTCCTTTACGTCCTAGTTCCATGACAAGATTGGGCCCATGTTGGAAACCCTGGAAAGCATGGCATCTCGCCTTAATATGCCGCCTTTGATACCTGCTGAAGTGGAGAAAATTCGGGATTGCATTGGTGAGAACAAGAATACCCTCATGGAACTTGAAAAACTGCAGCCATCCTTTGAGGCCCTGAAACACCGCGGAGAGGAGCTTATCAGCCGCTCACAGGGAGCAGACACGGATCCTGCAGCCAAAGGTTGGCCACCCCAATAATGATATATAATTGTTTTGTTATTTCTTTGTGTTAAAGCAGTACAGATCTGAAAGCCAGGTTGCCATGGTAACTGCAGTTTGGGAATTTCCTCTACTTTGATGGAAACACAGTATGTCTCAAGCTTCTGTGATGTTAAACATGCTTGTAAATTTGCCTGGCTTACTAATGACTTTTGATTAAGAAAGCTTGACAAATTTCATTTCTTATGGGAACTAAAAATTGCCCTTCTCAGGTTGGCCACCAAGTGTCATCTATATAGATCACTATTGAAATTTGCTGTTGATATACTACTGGGTAATAGAATACAGTTTTTCTGTCATGCATTTCACATGTGAGCAGGAATTGAAAAGAAGAATATCATTTACTTAAATTATCAAGGAACTGATAAAAGGAGCCTATGTGTTAGAATTATCACATCATTTTGTGTTGTTTTTTTCTTTCTAACATTATGGTGGAATGCACTATTGTTGGTCAATATATGGCTGCTCGGTTTGTCTTTTATTTAAATATATGTGATTGTTATGTTCTTTGCAAGCAGTTTAGATTGCTTTTTTGTTTTGTAACTTGCCTGCAACCTATACCCACCCCCCACTGTAGATGTTTGTCCTCCTGGCAAGTTCCTGGTCTGAAGGGCAATAATTAAAGATCTCTTTCCCCAGCACACTCTGACTACCATTCTGATCTCCATGAGCATGCTGCACAGTGCCGCTGGGGAACCTAGCATTGTTATCTGTGACCAATCTTGTGATCACCTTTATTAACCAGTAGAAGGGAGTCGGTGGTACTGGGAAGCAGAGAAAGGAGAAATGCTTTCATCTTAACATTGTAAAGCTGAATGTGTGCAGTGTCATTTAGAACCAGATGGCTAAATACCTCATACCAATAGTAACTCTGTTTTGTATAACTACACCCAATGTCTTTACAGCTTTCTCTACCTTAAATCTTCTATGGCTCTGCTTTATTTATGAGTCACCAGATTGGTAATCTGCATTGTATTTGTGATAGTTGCTTTCATTTTACTCTTATACTTAACTTTATCGTTTCAACCTAAATCACCTATACATCTACTTGGCCTAAGGTGTAAAAAAAAAAAGTCTTGGTTCTTTTCCATACTTACACAAAAAAAAGTCTTGGTTCTTTTCCATACTTACACAAAAAAAAGTCTTGGTTCTTTCCATACTTACACATATGCCTTTTCTCTTTGTTTTAGCCATTCAGGACAAACTGGACCAGTTAGTGTTCACCTGGGAGGACATCAAAGCCAGGGTAGATGAACGAGAGATGAAATACCTAGATGTCCTTGAGCTGGCAGAGAAGTTTTGGCTAGATATGAATGCCCTGTTAACAACCATCAAAGACACCCACGAGATTGTTCATGATCTGGAAAGTCCCGGAATTGACCCATCAATGATTAAGCAGCAGATTGAGGCTGCAGATGTAAGCAACATCTGGAAATTATTCTCTCTACGCTTCTTCCCATATAGGAATCACAACAGTCAGTAAATGCAATTTTATATTTGTTTGCAGACCATTAAAGAGGAGAGTGATGGACTCCATGAGGAACTGGAGTTTATCCGCATTCTTGGAGCAGACCTCATATTTGCTTGTGGAGAGACTGAAAAACCAGAAGTCAAGAAAAGCATTGATGAGGTGCGTCATAATCCCACGGTGCTTGTATGATCTTCACATCTTGGCAAAGCCTCTGTACCACTCTTCATTCCTGGAAGGGCTGCTGAGATGAGAACACACATTGCTTTGCTTTCAAGCTGTTAGTGCAGTCCTATACTTAAAACATAATACACATTGATAAAACATTTCCAATATATATATACTGTAATTTTTTATCAATGAGTGTTGTTTTATAAAACAAATCTTGTTCTGTGTGTTGTTTGTTATTAGATATTTAGTTATATGTCAACAGACATATCTGTTAAAAACAGAACAGGCCCCGTTTCCTCCCTGTTAGTGTTGTGCTTTATTAAATACTCTTATTCTTACTGCACGTCTACATTCTGTTGACAGTAATGATATGGCCACATACTGTGTTATCTAAGCTGCCTAGGCTCTATTGTCAGTGAAGGACCTCAAGCTACAGTTTTTTAGGCATGGAAAGCTAGTAGCATTTCTTATAAAAAATGTTTTGCGAATGCTGACATGAAATTGATTCATATACAGTGGGGAAATACAATTATAGGTCCCATTTAATACCCATCAAAAAGATCATGTCAATTTTCATCCAAGTAACTTTTTGTCTTCGTAGTCTATCCCGATATTTGTATGTGTCTTTTTGTCGGGACATGTAGGGCTGTTATTTGGTAGCAGTTTTTAATAAATATGTATATTTTATTTTATAAGATTTATTTTGTTTGGTGGTGGTAAAAAAAAAAGTACAAATGAAGCAGAGAACAATGCATTGTACTTCAGGCATCAATCTATTTAGCATGATGTTCTCTGCAGCATATGCAAATATACTTTTCCATAAAACTGCAGTTAGTGTTCTAAAAGTTGTCAAGAATCTCTTTGCTACAAAAAGTATTGCATATCGTTTTAGTTTTTGTCTTTTTTGGAGTGGATAAGGGTTGTCTTTTTTTGGAGTGGATAAGGGTTTGCAATGCTGAAAGATTTTTTTTATTACTGATGGTAAAGTAATTGCAAAGATTTTCTCTCACTTACTGATTGGTTACCAAGACAGAAAGGGAGTAAAATCTCCAACGAGGGCACAGACAATAACAAACCTTTTTTTGTATATAGTGTGGGAAAGTATGAGAAACTGACAGATTTTGATTGTTGTCTTTGTTAGGGAGAACTCTTCACTTTCTGTGCAGTCAGTAAGACAGGAGGTTAGGTGATATCTTCCTAACATTGACACAAATGGCAATAAAAACGTAACCCTCTCTCAGTCTAATTAAAACCATGAACAAGCTTTGGCTGGAGTTTCTCTAGAGTTGATCTCTAGAAATACGTTACATGGTGATTAGGCTGTGAGCTGCCTTACAGCATAGTTGATCTTTATTAATCTTCAAGATATTTACGGGAACTTAATAAAGATGTAAAATGTTATTATGCCTTTTTATTCATTGTCGTTTTCTTTGCACTACTTCAAAACAGTTTAGTTATAGGGTTTTTTTCATAACAATGACAGAAATGATCATACATTTCTTTATATTCTCTTTTTATAAAACGCTATGGGTATTACAGAAATAAATGATAGTTATTTTAAATCCAACAGCAACAATGCATTTCAGAAGAAAACATCTGGCAGTCCAGACATTCTTTGTCCCTGCAGGGACAGTTGATGTCCAGTCTCACGACTAGCCCAGTTCCTTTGCAGGTGTTTAGAATTCCCTGCTCATGTGGATAATTAACAGCTGACAATCTTAAATAATCCATCCTTTCATGCTTAATTTAGTGTAATCATTCTGGAACTTGAGAATGATCATTCTGAAAATGAGAATACTACTCATAAAATAGTACAGCATTATTAGCTGTGTTAATGATTGTGTACTTGATCTTCAGAAGTATAGTACCGTTATCTGCTCCATCACACACAGTCTGCTCCCCAAAACCTGCAGGCTAAATAGCACTTATACTGATGTAGTGTGCATTTTCTGACACGATTCTACATTTCATTAAACCTAAGCTTTCATAAAGGAACCTGTTGCTTGTTTTATTTCAGATGAACAGTGCCTGGGAAAACTTGAAGAAAACTTGGACAGAGCGCCTGGAGAAGCTTAGAGATGCAATGGGTCATTCAGTACAGTACCAGGACACCTTACAGGTACTTTGTCACAAAAGTCATCATAGTTATGCTATCCTAAATCTCCAGATTTAGGAGACTGTATTTTACAGTGTCTACATTCAATGCATGAGATTGCTTATATCACACAACACATGACCTGCACACCAGAAACTCACATGTGCCCCTAGCAGATCACCATAGAGATATGCCATGCTGCATTCAGCAGTATTTAGAAAGCAGGGCCTTGCTTTTTTCCCTGCAGAACATTTAATATTTTTCATGTCTTTCCTTACTTGACAAAGCTAAGGCAACTAGGTAGATTAAGCAAAGAATGGTAAGACAAACACTTTTTTTTCTCCCTTTGTACTAGGCAATGTTTGACTGGCTGGATAATGCTGTTATAAAACTTTGTGATATGCCTCCTGTGGGAACTGATATCAATACAGTGAAAGAGCAGATCAATGAAATGAAGGTAAGCTAGACCTTTTCGATAAAACTCTTGGTGGAAATACATAATTACAGTTTATTTAATGATTGATGTGCCTAACTTATTATGTTAAACTGTTATTCACAATGTTGACCCTTTTGTTGGCAGGAGTTTAAGGTAGAAGTTTATCAGCAGCAGATTGAAATGGAGAAGTTGAATCATCAAGGGGAACTGATGCTGAAGAAAGCCATTGATGACACTGATCGGGAAATCATCCAAGGACCACTAACAGAGTTGAAACATTTGTGGGAGAATCTTGGAGAGAAGATTATACACAGACAGGTAGCGAGTGTGTAAATTGGGATGAAGTGTTTGGATATGTTAAGTCATTTTCCTAACTTTTTAACTATGTTTCCACAGCACAAGCTTGAGGGTGCCCTACTGGCTCTTGGCCAGTTCCAGCATGCACTGGCTGAAGTAATGTCCTGGCTAACACACACAGAGGAACTTCTGGATGCTCAGAAGCCCATTAGCGGTGACCCCAAAGTCATTGAGGTTGAGCTTGCAAAGCATCATGTAAGTCTGTAAACAAGGTTATACTATATATTTATGAAATTGTTATATTATAAATAGTGCACGGTTTTGTTTTATTACTGTTTTTTTTTTTTTGTTTTAGTCAAGTAAACAGTGTTCGTGTGGCTGATAGAAATGATAGTCTTGTTTAAATCTTTGACAATTCAAAATTAATCTGTTGTCAGGATATTGTCTGTAGCACCCCCAAAAAAATAGCATTACATTTATTTTTATCAGCCAGAAAGCAAAAAGTCTTCCGTTTCCTGTATCCATGAATATGTATTGTGCTGTTCTCTATCCAAATTCCACCATACAATCCTGTGCAGCAAAAACACAATCCTGTCCTTAAGTTGACTACATATTCATAGGACTCTTTTTGAGCCCTCCCTCTTACCTTTGCTGGCTCTGTGTGCTTGTTTCTTAGCTAGCTTTCACAGCCTGTTAAAGAGGTCATTGGCACCACCGACTGACAGTGCATATTGACAAGAGTTACAGTGTAACCACTTTTGTTTTATACCAAGCACAATGGGCATTATGTGTAACTTAAAATGCAACCTATAATGATTTTGTAGAGTAAAGCATAGAACAAAGTGTTTTTGGTTACAGCTAACTGAATGATTTAGATATAAGAGCCCTTTAACAAATTCCCTATACATGAAGACTATTTTTACTCACATCCTTTCTCAATTTACAGGTCCTGAAAAATGATGTGCTTGCTCATGCAAGCACAGTGCAAACTGTGTACAAAGCAGGCAATGAGCTGCTGGAGTCCAGTGCTGCAGATGATGCAAACAGCCTTAGAACTAAGCTGGAAACTCTAAATCAGTCATGGGAGTCTGTACTACAGAAAACTGAGGAAAGAGAGCAGCAACTAGACATGGCTCTTCAGCAGGTGAGTGCAACATCAGATCTTCAATAGCAGCCACCATAATAATAATTCACCAAAACTGCACGTATCTGTGGTATGAACTGAAACATGTTATTCTTTTCTGTACAGGCTCAAGGCTACACAGGGGAGATTGAAGATTTCATCCAATGGGAGAGCAGAATAGAAAGCCAGCTGTCAGCAGCTAAACCCACTGGAGGACTACCAGAGACTGCTCGGGAACAGCTACAGGCTCACATGGTGAGGGTCCTATGCCTGGAGTAATCATATATTTGGTGGCCATTTTATTAGGTGCATTTATTCAGTAACAGGTAGCAGCACAATCTTTTGCCTTCAGAACATATTAGGGAGAATTTATCAAAATTGGGGCAGACATTAACTGGAGCAGTTGCCCATGGAAACCAATCAGCATCTCTCTTCAGTTTGCTTAGGTAAGATTTGAACATAAGACAGAGAAGCTGATTGGTTGCGGTGCAAATCTGGATGCAACAAGGCACTGCAAATATTCTGTAGGGGTTTGGTATATGTTGACTTAAGACTATTTCCATTATGTAACCATTACAAACCTGAAAGGCTGACACAAGACAGCCCCGATCATTGGATATACATAGTGTATGACAATTTTTGACCTTGCCAGCTGCATTTCACAAAAGAACTGGAGATTCTTTATATTAGACAACATTTTTACAATCTACATACGTTTAATTTTTGAGATCCTAACCTCCCTTTACTGTTTGTGGTGGGGGAACTTGGAATAATATTCTGCTGCCATACCCATCCCACGTGTTATGCATTCAGAGATGTCCATCTACTCTGCACTGTTGTAAACATTTTTCAATCAGTTGTGCTTACATAGGTCTCTGATGACTTCTCAAAAAAAAAAATGTTTTTCGCCCAAAGAACTGCTTTTCACAGAATGTTTTTTGTTTTTCTTTCTTCTCTCCATTCTTTGTAAGCCTACAGTTTGTAGTGTGTGAAAATCCCATGAAAGCCCCGCAAACTTTCTTGGTGCTTTGTTGTACAATCCACCTTTAGTTTTATTATGCGTTTGACTTCTTACATATATACAAGTTTTATTTGAGCTATCATGCACCTAGTGAAAGTTTTGGCCTCTGTGTCTTTATGTAATTTTATGTGCACCTCTTTGAAATGTTAGTAATGCTTTATTCTTCTTTGTTATCTTATTAGGTTTTGCATTCTGTTTGACTGTTTTCATAAGTTGAGAAATCTCTTCCTTTAATACAAACACGTGGCTTACATTATAATTCATTTTTTGTTAAATATATTCTCATAGGAGTTATATGCTGAAGTCAAATCCAGTGATGAACTATATAAACAGCTTCTAGACAAGGGACAACGAATGCTTCTCAGCCGGGATGATGCACCCGGTTCTGTCACTGAACAGAGTGTAGCCATACTTAAGAGAAAGTGGCAAAACATTAACAACAAGGTGGAAGAGAGGAAGGTAATATATGGCATTGCCCTTCTCTCCTTGTTATTGTGTTACTCTTATGTTTGCAGACCTTACATAACCTCATATATGTGGATGTGTTGTAAAAGTTAAATCTATTGTATGTCTAATGAAGGTGGTTTTGGGTTTGTAGATTTTAGACCTGTATTTTATTCTGTATATCTGTATATCTGTATTAAATCTTGTCACTGTTTGCCCACAGGGGAAACTAGAAGAAGCTCTGAGTTTGGCCACAGATTTCCAGAATTCATTACAAGACTTTATTAACTGGCTGACACAAGCTGAGCAAAGCCTGAATATAGCACCTCCTCCAAGTCTGATTCTAGACACAGTTCTTTTCCAAATTGATGAACATAAGGTAAGTTCCTTAGTAACGTTCCTCAATCACTGTGCATGGTTGGTTAGATATTGCTACAACTACCATTCTTTACCTATTTTATTATAGATTTTTGTAAATGAAGTTAATGTTCATCGAGAGCAAATTATTGAGTTGGACAAAACTGGGAACCAGCTGAAATTTCTCAGCCAGAAGCAGGATGTGGTCCTTATTAAGAACCTTCTGCTCAGTGTCCAGTCCCGCTGGGAAAAGGTGGTTCAGCGATCAGTGGACAGAGGAAGATCCTTAGATGAGGCAAGAAAAAGAGCAAAACAGGTTTGTACTTGGAAAAAAAAAATTGTTGTATTGTTTTTGTTTTTAGGTATAAATGTATGATATTGTAAATATTTCATTAAAGTGTTACAGCTATTACATAAACCATGACTTTAGTACATTGTCTAGACTACTGGCAAGTCATCATACTTGGTCTCTGCCTTGACGACCCCTATTCTATCACAAAGTTAATAAATATTTTATTTTTGTTTCTTGTCGCTGATATGCTCATGCTTTTCATGTTCCAGTTCCATGAAGCCTTGAAGAAACTGATAGACTGGTTGGAAGAGGCAGAGAATCACCTAGATTCTGACATGGACATCTCTAATGATCCAGACAAAATCAAGCTAAAGCTTACAAAGCACAAGGTTAATTTATGTAGTAAATGTTTTGTGTTAACACTCAATAGATCAATTAACATTTCCCTCTTTTACTTAACACCATAGGAATTCCAGAAAACCTTAGGAAGTAAACAGCCTGTCTATGACACAACTGTAAGGACAGGAAGGGCATTGAAAGAAAAGGCCTTATTAAGCGATGATGTGCAGAAATTAGATCACCTCCTTGGAGAAGTGAGGGATAAATGGGACACTGTGTGTGGAAAATCTGTAGAAAGGTAATTTTCACCAGTGCTGAAATTAGCCAAGATTACTTGCAAACCTAATTAGTGCTTGATAGATGTTATTATATACCATGTCATTTTTCGAACTTACTTATGTGTTTTGCACAGTGGCAGTCTTACTTGAATTAAGTTTTCTCTGTTTTATTTGCAGGCAGCACAAACTAGAGGAAGCTTTGCTTTTTTCTGGGCAGTTTATGGATGCCCTGCAGGCCCTGGTTGATTGGCTGTATAAGGTGGAGCCTCAGCTGGCTGAAGATCAACCTGTGCATGGAGACTTGGATCTTGTGATGAACCTGATGGATGCTCATAAAGTATGTGAAGCGTAAATTATAGTAATTTTCAATTTGCCCATCCCCCTAGGCAGTTATATTTACTGAGCCATGCTGCCGCCCTACGCCACTGAAGCCATCGCTAATGGAACAAAGTTTTCAGCTGTAAGGGAGTAAATGCCCTCCCCATGTGACAGTGCTTGGGCCTGAACAGCCAGTCACCAGGCCTGAACACTGCCAAGATTGGGAGTCTATGACATCTACCGATTTGAGCTCCCAACACGAGCTATTGCCATAGCTTAGCCATGGTGGGATACTGTAATGAAGAGGCAGCAAGGCAGTGTGGTTGGGTAAGTATACATGCCTTGGCGGATAAGCAAAGTGACGGTATCTCTCGAAGATGCTCCTTGACCGGTAGGGTGGTGTAATTAATTCAGAAGTTGTTAATACTCGACTATTGTCCATGTGTCAAGCATGTATGTATACACTTTAAAAAGAAAACTTCATGTTGTGGTAACACTTTCCTGTTATACTGATTTTACCTTTCCATTTTCTTTTTCAATAGGCGTTCCAGAAGGAACTAGGGAAAAGGACAAGCAGTGTTCAAGCTCTGAAGCGTTCTGCTAGGGAACTGCTTGAGAGCAGTAGAGAGGACACTACCTGGGTCAAGGTTCAGCTCCAGGAACTCGGCACAAGATGGGACACTGTATGCAAACTTTCTGTGTCCAAACAAACCCGCTTGGAGCAAGCACTGAAGCAGGTCAGTGACTTCATATCAGGTCACATTTACACACTGTTAACAACCTGGAAATTGATGAAATTAATAAATTATTTTTTAGGCGGAGGAGTTCCGAAGTACTGTCCACATGCTGCTGGAGTGGCTCTCAGAGGCCGAGCAGACGTTACGTTTTCGTGGCGCTCTTCCTGATGATGCAGAGGCTTTGCAATCCCTCATTGATGTTCACAGGGTCTGAAAATAATAACTCTTCTTCATTACTGGCTCAAGTTTCCCAGATTTGGTTTAGTTTTGTTACATACTTTGTTAGATGGAAATGTCTTCTTTACTCTATTTCCAACTCATTTTGTCATTTTTAATATTCAGGAGTTCATGAAGAAAGTAGAAGAGAAACAAGTAGATGTAAACACTGCAGTCAGCATGGGAGAGGCAATACTGACAGTGTGCCACCCAGACTGTATCACGACTGTCAAGCACTGGATCACTATCATACGGGCTAGATTTGAGGAGGTAAGACAGATCTTTTAGTATTTGACGATCATAGTAGCTATACATTAGAAACATTGGTCTATTGGTTTAGTGTTGGCTTTTATTTTGCAATTAAATTATTGTATTTTTTCAGATTACAGTTTACAATCCCCTTTTCAATGTAACATTTTACATTACTTGTTTACTGTGTTTAAAGGTGCTGACTTGGGGCAACCAACACCAGCAGAGGCTGCAGGCAGCCCTCTCAGAGCTTTTAGCCAATTCTGACCTCCTAGATGAATTGTTAGCCTGGATACAGTGGGCTGAGACTACTCTGATCCAGCGAGATCAAGAGCCTATGCCTCAAAACATTGACCAGGTCAAGAATCTAATTTCTGAACACCAGGTAAGGTTATTGGTAATGTAGTCTGTAGAATGGCATTAATATTTTGATAGAATGTTTAAACCAGTGCAGAATACTAGCTAATCTTATCTCATCATAGCCCCTAACGTTTAGGGTTATGAATAAACTGTTCTGTGAAATAAATATCTTCATGTCACTAGTTCTGACTTGGACCATTGTTTCTTATGCTTTTCACTAACAGGTTTTCATGGAGGAAATGACTCAGAAGCAGCCAGATGTAGATCAAGTCACAAAAACATACAAAAGAAAGACAACAGATCCAAACCATGCGTCATTCAGTGACAAGACACGAAGCAGTGAGTGTGCATTGCAGATTTTAAGCACATTTTTCTACTGATATTTTAATCCTTAATAGGAGATAATGGTATGATGTAGACTAACTACAAGGCACAAATGCTCAGTGTTTATGTATGACCATGCCCTTGTTCTGAGGCAAACTAAAACAACCTGTCATGACACCTGATATGTTGGTGTTAAAGCGATTCTTCACGCTTGCCAAAATATCTGTAAGCAATTCATGTTTTTAATAGCATAGAATTTACCGTACTTTGCGCTCTATAAGGCGCTCCGGTCCATAGGACGCAGGCATTCTGTGACAGAAGCTGCAGTCCGGTGACCGCTGAGACAGGTGGCGCTATGATTACAGCGCCACGGTCTCCGTAATCACACAGAGCAGACGAAGAACGACGTTCTTAGTCTGCTTAAGGGGCTCTGTGGTGAGCTCCTATGTCGTGGTCACGGTCCCCCAGAGGTGCGGGGGACCCCGAAAACCACGGCTAGGGGCGGACACAATCGTCGCCGCCGCTCGATTTAATACAAGTGATCTAATTAGATCACTTGTATTAAACGAGCAGCGGCTCCCACTGCATATTCAGCTCTGCTTGTCAGGAGCAGGGCTGAATGTACAAAAAAAACGACTCGCCCGGCGCCGGAAACTGCATGTCCCAGGCATCCGGCGATAGGTATTCGCTCCATAGGACGCAGGCACATTTTCCCCCTCCTTTTGGGGGGAAAAAAGTGCGTCTTATGGAGCAAAAAATATGGTAGTTGCAAATATGTGTACCTTGTAGATCAGTGATTTGTTCTTTTAGAAATGTTCCTTCATATATGTACTTTGAAAATTTTAGTCCCATTTTAAGAGTTTTTATCAATTTTTATTCCAGGAAAACATCCAGTGCAATCCACTCCACATGTACTACCTCCCCTGTCTCAATCTGAGACCAAGAATCCGAGGATCAATCAGTTGTCTGCACGATGGCAGCAGGTTTGGCTGCTGGCCTTAGAAAGACAGCGGAAGCTTAATGATGCTATGGATAGACTAGAGGAGGTAAAAGATATATGTTGTACACTTATTTTCATTTTCGTGTGTCTACCAGCAAGCAAATGTTAACCAAATTTACTGGTGTACCATCTGACAGCTCATTGTTGAATTGTGTTCTTCTATTAGTTGAAGGAATTTGCTAACTTTGACTTTGACATCTGGAGAAAGAAGTACATGCGTTGGATGAATCATAAAAAATCTCGAGTTATGGATTTCTTCCGAAGAATTGATAAGGACCAAGATGGGAAAATTACTAGACAAGAATTTATTGATGGGATATTAGCTTCCAGTAAGTAGCTAAGCATTGAGAAATGTTGCACAATGTTCTTAGGAGGGTGAAACATGATCAATGTTGCATTCCAAGACTATGTTCGCATTGATTATTCTAAGTGTGCTATGTCTTTTACAGAATTTCCAACCACAAAACTTGAAATGACTGCTGTAGCTGATATATTTGACCAGGATGGCGATGGATACATAGATTATTATGAGTTTGTAGCTGCCCTTCATCCCAACAAAGATGCCTACCGGCCGACCACTGATGCAGATAAGATTGAGGATGAGGTAATTCAGCAACTCTTTTGCTATGACATTATTAGATTTACTTATTGTAAAATCCAATATTTATGTTTACATCTATTCTCTTCCCAGGTCACCAGGCAGGTAGCACAGTGCAAATGCGCAAAGAGATTCCAAGTGGAGCAGATTGGAGAGAATAAATACAGAGTGAGTATAGTCTTATTTATTTCTTTAAGTTAATTATCCTTTCACAGCCTTTCTGGAAGAACCTTTACATGAGAAGTTGCATTGCTGGACTGATCAGAGATACTGCCAATACAAAGGAAGCCTTTCCAGCATCTGCTTTGGTTTAAAAACTGATTGTGTGTGAACAAATTCAATAGTTGGAGTGGGTTTTCTGTTCAATGATGCATTTACATTTTCATCCTTCATGGGAGAAAATCTGGCAGCTGTTCTCTTGTGGCTAGCAGATTTAAAGGAAAAGTCAAACAAGTCTGCACTATATGGCCAAGAGTTTATGGTCACCTGACCATAGCATCTACCTTTATAGCCAAAAGTATGTGGCCATCCCTCCAGATTATTGAGTGTAGGTGTTTCCAGTGAAGGGTACTGTAAATGCTAGAGTATACAAAGCCATTGAGACAATTGTGAGCTTTTAACCTTGTGGTAACAGTTCTAGGAAGGTACCAGCCTGACTTTGCCCCTGTGCACAAAGCCACGTCCATAAATATATGGGTGGATGAGTCTGGTGTGGACAATGTCAACTGTCATCAAGTCCTACAAACAAACTGCTTGCATTGCTCCAAAGTAACCAATCAAATTGAAATTTGTAATAGAAAATGACTGTGATAGAATAAAGCTTGAATCTTGTAGTATTGTGATGTGTCACCTGCACTCCTTACAGCGATTGGACCTTGATTAATGGCCGTGGTGCTTATAGTGATTACACAGATGGCGCTGTGTTTTCCAAAATCATAGAAGACGGAGATCACCAGCACGCAGTCAAAAATATTAGATTATTGTGCTTATTTATTGAAGAAACATGTCACAAGCGTCATTTAGCCAACGATTCAGGGCCACGCAGGGTCACTTCTCTCACTATTTTGAAGAAGGGACCCCGTGTGGCCCCGAAACATTGGCTAAATAATGCTTGTGACATGTTTCTTCAATAAATAAGCACAATAATCTAATGCTTTTGGCTGAATGCTGGTGATCTCCATCTTCTACAATAAAGCTTAAATCTGACTGGTAAACTTGAGGCAGTATAGACATTTCTCCTAAAGGTAACTGTAGCCTTTTCCATTTATCTATACTTTGTGAACAAGGCAAAGTTTTATTGAGGAAAAAATGTTTGAGCCAAATGCTTTTTGTCCTTTTCTAGTGCAAAGTGTCCAGTTGTTTATACATTTGTTATACTAATATACTGTTATTTGTGTGCAATTGCTGTTTCTGTGAAACTAAAGAGTTTTCTTTCTTTCTCCTTGTGCTCTTTCGTTTAGTTCTTCCTAGGCAACCAGGTACAGTGCATTCTACTGCTGCCTCTTGCTTCCCAAATAATCACATGCTGTGTACTAAATTCCTTTCCATCTCTTGCCGTGATAAACTGAAATTCATTCAATCACTGTAGATTAATTGATGCTGTTTAAGAGCTGTGTACAGACCCTTCTCTCACGCTAATAACAAACCCACAAAGCTAAATGTGGACTTTCAATACGCTGTGAAAGGGTCTGCATGTCAGAAAGAACAGCGAATTTGATTCTCCAAGGTGTTTGAATTCAAATATTTATATATCATTTGTGGTGATCTTTGCAGTTGATGGCTGATTGGAAGTTTCCTGTGAGCTAAGCGTTTAAATAATTAGCAAATGTGGCCCGCCATTATTAAAGTATTTTGTTTTTTTTAAACTTACACTTACCTTCTGCCAAAGTAAGTGTAAAAGACATTAGACCCTGGGCACCCTAAATCTGTTGCAACATTTTTGCTTCAGAGTACATCAATGTAAAATAAGATCATTTGGTGGCCCTTTTTGCTTGTTGATGACTAGCCACAGTCACCGTTTTAGTTTTTTCTAGATTTAGCTCCACTAGCGGAGAGATCTTACAAGGTCCCATTAGCCTGAAAGCTGCAAATGCATGTTATCCAACAGTCATTCTACTATGATTTAGTGTTTGGACTGAAGTTTTCCTCCACTGCACAGTATAAGTGGATGCTAACCTCCATTTTCATAACTAATTTTACTGTCTGGATTCAAGAGATGTGGATCGGTACATTCACACCTTGGCAGATTGGGGGACTGAGACAAGTGTCATTTAAATGAAAGTATAGTGCCATTTGTCACATAGTTGATGCTTGTGCTCAGATCTGCTCAATTCCAGTATAGTAATATGTGCCTGCGCACACATAGATCTGCACTGAATGCCTAATCTATGAGGATGCACATATTAAATACATATATATTAATTTATATATGTCTGAATTGGTGTATGGGTAACTTAGTTTACTTGGTAGAGACCTATCATATGAGAAATACGCAGGCTGCCATTCCTCACCTCCTGGCTTAAGTCCTTTTAGTCACTGGATATGACGATAGTCACCCTGACTATACTGGATGCATTCTTGACCCAGGCCTGTAACTCAGAAAGCATCAATGCTGCTGGATCTGTTTGACAGCCAGGTAGAAAGCCAGGTGGTCTTCAATGGCATCATGTTTCTGTCATGATGGGTTTCTTTCAATGTACCTGTTATGTACTGTGTCAGTAACTTTATTACCTGGTTTCACAGTTTGGAGACTCTCAGCAGTTACGTTTGGTTCGTATACTGCGCAGCACAGTAATGGTCCGAGTTGGTGGAGGCTGGATGGCTCTAGATGAATTTTTGGTCAAGAATGATCCTTGCCGAGGTGAGAATTTCTTCAATGGAGTGTTCTTCTAATCCAAGATGTATTGACTTTATATAGGATTTGATTGTGTTGGTCACTTTACTTCTATATATATTTTGGCTTTTAAGGTGCCAAAAACATGCATCGTGTCCATCAAACACAGGTAATTTTATATAAAAAGATTAATTTTATGAATTTAAAATAAACATAATTACATCCAAAATGTTGCCCACATGATACAGTAACACATTGAAAACAAACTACTGCCTTAGGGTCCCACATGTGTTTATACATAATTCTCATATATATTCATATTAGTCAATAAGCATAAATTTGTAACTTTTATATAGTCCAAAGTGGGCCCGATTTTCGGCGCGTTTCGCAACTGCATATAGGAAGGTTGGAGGTAATTTCATGTTCACAGAAATGACTGGATCCATGCTCTCAAGGGCTCACGATCACCAAACAGGTAAGAAAGGTAGGAGGCATCCAGGGATAACAGGACTTTTACAAAAAATCCCATCAAACTTGCTGTTCAGAACCAGCATTTTACACATGTGGGACCCTAAGGAGGTAATTTGTTTTCAATGTGTTACTGTATTATGTGGGCGACATTTTGGGTGTGTTTGTTTTTAAATCAAGTTGATTTTAAATTAATATAATTCATCTTTTTATGTAAAACTACCTGTGTTTGATGGACACGATGTATGGTTTTGGCACCTTAAAAGCCCCAAGCCTTTTTGGGGGGGGTTTTCTGTGTTCAAATTAGGGGTGTGGTGTCTATCCCTACTGGTTCAACTTTTATATATTAATATTTCTATATAGAGCTGTTTATTAAGGAAAGTGGTGCACCGATTAAACCTTAAAAGCATCTTATTGAGGTAAAAGTAGAAGGTGACTGCGGTACTCCCACTGAGAACAAATTCACACAAGGTTCTGAACAAGTTGGTGAATGCTGCCTCCTAGAGTTTATCACATAAAAGCTTGTTGCAGCATAGTGATGGAGTCAGTAGGACACTTTTGTTTCAATTATAATTAGGGGAAAGGGAAACACCTAGGTCTTACTGACTGTTTTACTTTAAACACAAAGCAGCATTGATCGAGGTGATGCAATGACATCTACTTCTTCACAATATGTTATCTAGGTTGTCATTAATACTAAAAATATTTGTATTGAAATTGGACATCAACACACTATTAATCATTTTGGGTAGCCTAAAATAAATGTAAACGTAAAAATTGATTATTTAAACATGCTGGATTCAAGGTACTTGGAGGTTTAGGATATTTCTATGCAGATTTTGTCTTTGGGAGAAAGCTTGGCTATTGGCCTCCCAAGCACCCAGTTCTGCATTGTAGGAGGCTAAACATGTTTCCTGATGTCTCCGGACTTGAATGTAATCAGTTACATAGGCAAAATGAATTATGTTTTAAATGAGCAATATCTAAGGAAATAATATTGCCTTTTAGATGGGGCAGTTTGTATCTAAGGAAAGACAGAGCAGAAGTTGGTACACAACATGAAACTCTATTCCAGAAAAAGGCAAACACCAGCCCTCCAGCTGCAGTGAAACTAAAAATCCTGTCATGCATCTTCCTCTGGGAGTCATGTCTGTGGCTGCTAGAGTCTTACAATGCCTAATGGGACTTCTAGTTAAACCACAACGATATGGTTGAAGTTTGCCTACCCCTACTCTATTCTGTTATTCTAACATTGGTTCCTCCAAGAAATTCTGCAACTTTACTCTACAGTCATTTCATATCCTACCAGAAGAGTGCAGTGTAACACCAACAAGAATTAAATCTGGTGTAGCTTGCTTTCCGCAGCAGAGTCACTCATTACATGTGGTTTGGGGTTATGTGATCTTGTTAGCTGTGTGAAGGAAATATGCATTTTTATGTCCTTCTTCCTTACTGTCGGTGGTGGTGTACGTGTCCACTGGCTGATGCTGGTGTTATGCAGCATGTGCTAGCCTTAATAACTTGTTAATGATACATTCAATATCCCCAGCTAAACCTTTTGTTCTCTGTGATGTATCACATCCACATGTGTACCATTAAGTACTGTCATTGGCTGGACTTAGCTATACATTTTGCATGCCTCACCTCTCATCCCTTTTCCCCTGTGCACCTCTTTTGTATTCTCTTTAGTTCACCATCCAGGGACTAAATTAAAGAGAACCGATTCCGTCTCTTCCATAGGTTTGGGTAATTGCTCTGACTTTGTAGAAGTGCTTGTCTTTATAACCAGAAAAACCATTTCAAAACGACCAGACTTTTTGTTCAAGGCAATTGATAACAGCCTACATTTATAACTACTCAATACCTCATATACAAATGTAGTATTTAATGATTTTGGTATAATAAAATGGTATTACACCATTTAAAGACTACAGAACCAGATCTGAGAACACATGAAGCGTTGTAAGAGTTCATTCTTACCTTTTAGTAGCAAAAAAAAGCAAACCGTTTTTATTTACAAATCCTATACTAAATTGTATATTGTTTTTAAAAGTTAAACATATATGATCAAACTATTCCAGCTGCTGCATGTGATTGCCATGTGTTTAATACCTGTGCTTTTCCACATTATTAATCATATGCAAAGGTGTCAGAGAGATTTTTTTTTTGTTTTTTTTTAACACAAATCTTGTTTAAGTTAAAGTAACATGAAGTGACATTTCTCAAATTGTTCTCAGAGCTTATAATAACAGTTGCTATAGCATGAAAGATCCCTGTCCTGTATTTTTCCCAGATATCTATGATATCTACATGGCTGATATTTTATTTATGCTCTAATCTGAAGATGGTTTATGTGGCTTTATTTAATATTTTGTGGCTTCAGTTCAACTAATTTACCTTTTAACAGTTTTCAGTCTCATGGTCAGTGCTTATTAATAATCTTGTGTGCTTCTGAAGTAAACTTGTTTTATGTGCTATGCCTCTACGAAAGCTTTGTATTTCTGATTTATGAAACCAATGGGTTTATTTATTAAGGCAAAGAACAAAACAATTCATAAAATGCATTAACTTAACACATCCTATCAGAGAGCATATTTCTCTGTTCATACACCGTTTGAACTGATAAAAAGTGACATCTGGCTACTATGGGGTATTGAGCTTTGCCTTTTTAAATAAGACCGCATGAGTAATTCAAAAAAAATATTAATTTTACTTACTTGTTTTTAACAGCAAGGGGAAGAACAAATCTAGAGCTGCGAGAAAAATTTATACTTCCTGAGGGGGTATCCCAAGGAATGACCCCCTTTAGGTCCCGAGGGCGAAGGTCTAAACCGTCTTCCAGGACTGCCTCACCAACACGGTCCAGCTCCAGTGCCAGCCAGAGTAACCACAGCTGTACATCCGTCCCATCTTCTCCCGCCACTCCTGCCAGCGGCTCGAAGGTAAGGCCTGGCCGTGCCCTGGGCACAACATTAATGAATGTCAGTAGAGATATAACACAAGATACACAATGTATCTGCAGTGTGAGCTTTGTACTGTTCTCTGACAAACTATGTGTATATAAACTTTCATCTTACTAACTGTGTTTTGTGTATGAAGTGGCAAGACATAGTGCAGTGTCTGTGGAATACAGTGATCAAGCCATTCACCCTAGATTTTCATTTATATATGTACAGTTTGCTAGGCACTTTCCATAAAGATGTTTTCAGATGTGTAGGACCCTGGCTGTCATTGTGCCAAATACATGAGTGCTAACCCTGAACATGGAAAACTTGAGGATAGATGATACAAACACGATATATTGTTTCCTGTACAAATTCTGTAAAATGTTAGACACCTCAGCTGAAACTAAGGAACCAGGTAGTTTCAGAGGTGTGCAGATATTTGTGTGGTTAAGGTAGTTTTGTCCACAAACAAAGTAACATCACACACACATACATTTCAGAATAAAATGAAACTCCAGTTTTACTGAGGAAAAATAAAATTCTCTCTAGATGAACTTTGTCATTGCCAGAATATTGGCAAACATCTGCCTACTATAATCACATGATTCTCCTAGCATCACTTCAGTCGTGTAACATTTTTGGGAAGTATCTCACCAAAGATAAGGACATCGCTGGAGAGGCCTGAAATGTTACCTTCAACTATATGGACAGAAAATCATCATCCTCTGCAGAAAAAGCCATTTTGTAGCCGCTACCCTTTGAATATCCATATACAGTCACACACTTAACCCCTTCATGACTGAGGCCTTTTTTTCATTTTTTGTACCCATGTTATATTCCACATTTTAGGCCTGAAAATTACTTAAAACCCCCAACATTATATATTTTCTGAATGCCAAGACCCTATAGAATAAAATGGTGGTAGTTGCAAATTTTTATGTTGCACAATATTAGCGCAACTCCTTATTAAACCCCAATATTTAGTGAAAAATTTAATTAAATGCCCCAAAACACAACAAAATACCCATTTTTTTAATGAAATATAAAAGATGAGGTTACAACGAGTAAAACGATACCCAACATGCCCAGGTTACAAATTGCGTGCATCCGTAAAACGGCGAAAAACCCCAGTACCCCAAAAAGTCCATAGAAGACGCTTTAAAAGCCCATCAATTTTTTCACCGGGAGTCTGTTTAAACAGCCGCGATGCTGGCGACGTACACTGTACGTCGTCAGTCACGAAGGGGTTAAGGGCCCATGTATTGCTGTCAAACGTTGCCTTTTGCATTTGAAAGCACTGCTTCTCATATGTATGTGCTCAAACACAAAATATAGCAAAAGGCTGCATTTTACCTGCTTTATTTGCACTGCAAGTGCATCTTAATAGAATCTGCTGCATCCAAAGAAACACAACAAAAGGAAGGTCAAGCACAGCTTTAGAACTACCATCCACATCTCACCCCTCTAGCATACAGGAATTTGCTGATTTGTGGTTGATGTGCTTCTAAAAACACATTAAATGCAGAGAAACAATACTCATCCATCTACATCAGGGGTGCCCATTAGGTAGATCGCGATCTACCAGTAGATCGCAAAGCGAACACTGGTAGATCACGATCGGCTCACTGACCTGTGTCCTGTCCTCCCTTGGTGCTCGTGCGGCTGAATGTGTCAGACGCCGCAGACGGGAAGGAGAGAAGAGACTTCGGGAAGCTGCTGCAGTGGAGGTAAGAAAAGACAGAGACAAGAGACAGCAGAGAGAGAAGAAAGACAGCAGAGAAAGTGAGAGAAGAGACAGTAGATAGAAACAGGGGAGAGAGAGAGCGCGAGGAGAGAGAAGAGAGGGTCGGTTCACACCACAAAGTCTGCGTTCCAGAGTGTTTGGCCTCTAGAACACATTAGAACGCAAGCCGGCCGGCTCCCTGGAGCGGGAGGGGACGTGGCGGTGCATTGAAGTCAATGACACCGGAGCCATGCCCTTCACCCTCAGTGTTTTCGCCCGCACCCAGAACGCAGCCACATTAGTACCTGCGTTCCGGTCAAGCGCGATATGCAAAAATGCAGCATTTTTGCAGATCGTACTGGACCGGAACGCAGGTACTAATGTGCCTGCATTCCTGGTGCAGCGATTGCACTGGGGGCGTGGCTGCGGTGCCATTGACTTCAATGCACTGCCACGTCCCCTCCTGCCCCTGAATGCAGGTCTTTTTTCGTTGGTAGATCTCATTGAGCTCGTCATTTGATAAGTAGATCTGCAGACGAAAAATTGTGGGCGCCCCTGTTCTACATAAACCCTAAAGCTTTTTTTCAACCTCTAGACCAGGGGTGCCCACAATTTTTGTGTTGAGATGTACTTTTCAAATGACGAGCTACATGAGATCTACCAACGAAAAAAAAAACTCCCTCGCTCTCTTTCCCCTGGCTGTCTCTCCTCGCTCTCCTTGCTGTATATATGCAAACATTGTAGTGCAATAGGCTGTGTAAACTAATATTCTTTGATGTAATACATAGCACTTCAACCACCAGAATCCACCAGGAAGGCGTATACCCAGGCTAATAGGTAACCATGTGTGCCCTGCTAAATAAATATATCAAAATGGAATAAAGGGGCCGCCATTCACACCCTTCGTGATCTACCAGCATCAGCTTTGAGAGCTACTGGTAGATCACAATCTACCTAATGGGCACCCCTGCTCTAGACGGGTGCCTTCAAAAGCAGAGCTACACTACCCCCTACCTTAAGAACTAGCCGCACATACATAGTACAACCTAAAGCCTACCCTGATCTCTTGACCATACTCTGCAAGTAGTCTGGTCAATATAGTAGGCAACTGCAATTTTGTATGACTAAATATAGGTTAGTTTATAGGTTCTTAGGAGAAGCATCTTCTTTATAACATAACTCTAATGCATAAACTGTGCCCTGTCCAGTTTTCAATGTAATTCAGTTAAAAAAAAAACAAAGAACATGAATTAATTTTCCATATTGTCAAACATCAGTTTGACAGGTTGAGTCTGCCTCCAGTCTTGTTTGTTTGGGTTTTTTTTTTTTTTTGCTTTCTTTGTTTTTCTCCATTTGTGCTCATGTTTTAATTGTTTTTGGCATTGTATTATGTTTATCTTTTACTGCAAACTCATTTCCCTTCTTCATCTTCACTCATTTCCCCACTCCATCCTGTGTGGTGTTGCCCCTTTCACAGACTCCACAGCAGCTATCTCGCTCTTATGAGAAGCCCTGGCTAGTAAACAGCAAGGCTAGCACGCCCTCTAGGGGCTCCGACTACTCAGACTACCAGATTTCATCATGTGAGGTAGAGTATGGTCCTCCAGCCTATGGAGAATCCACACCTTTCCCTTCCATCAGTCGTTTCTCTGCTAACACCTTGTTCCATCATCATGTTTCCTCTGCTAACAATCGTGAATGGATAGAAACACTGCACTCAATTGTGTATCTTTTTAGAATGATTTTCTGTTATGATTGATTTTCATTCTAATATTCAAGGACTAAAGGCATGTCAACAGAAGCACTGATTTGAGAAACTAAAAAAAAAAAAATAATGTCTGTCTTTACTAAAATGACCATGGGTTGTTCCACTTTACATATATGCATGATTTTAATTACGCTGTGATTTTATTCTATTTTACTGCATCTTAATTCTTACAGATTGGTGGTGTTCCGCATATGAATAAGACTGTTTCAAACAATTTAATCAAAGTGCATGCTTGAGTGAATATATTTCATATGAACGCAGTACGTCCACGTAACAAAACACTGAAAGCATGCCATTTTCAATCTGCTTCTCTGTAAAACAATGTGTATTTTCTTATAGAAAAACCGCTTACGGTACCAGTGAATACAGTCTCTGCTTTAGATTTATGAGTTAATTTAAACAATGTGACACACCACTATAGAATTAAGATTTGCTTTTTCATTACCTTTCTGCTGCTTACTGTTAAGTAGAGGGTTTCAACAAAGTGTAAAATGTTTGCTTATTAATAAAACAAGTTGATAAATACAGTGGAGTGTGTCAAAACCAGAAGAATTCAGCTCCATTCTTGTAGTTTCTTAGGGGGCTCTCCACTCATTTTGTTATATCAACTGATACAATGAGCTCTTAAAAGTATTTGTTTCTCTGCTGCGTTGCACTAAGTTTACATAGGTTCTTTTTTCTCAGTGGCAAAATACAAGTTATGATTATTAAAGAGCTATAGTATAAAAGTAATCCTGTTTGGGGAGGGGACTGCATGGGGACATATTTTTCTACACACATGTACTGTCCATGATTGCAGAGAAGGACACTGCTGTCCACTGATGGATTTTTCTTAAACCTTTCCGCACATGTAGCAGTTGTGCCATGTGTTCTCCCAAGTGTGGAATGGCCTGCCATTCAGCTTACTTAACTTTCTTTCTTATCCATTGAGGGACAAAGGAAGTTAGTCACCTTTTGGGTTATACTGCTTCATGCATCATGCCTCAGCTTTTTCCCAATGTCCTAGGAGGATAGATGAATTTTCTTCAGCTCTGCTGTGTAAAAGATTAAGCTATTTTATTAAGTATCTATATTTATCTTATATCTTATCTATTAACCTATGTTTGCTAGCAGCATTTTTTTCTTCATTCAAGACTCTTTTCTACAGTGCTGCTAGAACTTGCATTGTCATCCTCAGCCCACTTTTTCGAGTGTTATGTCCAGACCACTCTGGAATAACTAACTCTGGGAATAACCTGAAAGTAACCTTTGGGCACTGGGTTCAGTGTAGGGTGTTTTTTTCAGACTCCATTCTGGTAAAAAGTTAGCCACGGAGCACTTTCTCTTTCGTCTCTACCAGTGCTATTCTCTGTCTCGGGTTTTTTAGAGGCCCTAAGACCACAAAGATTTTTCTAGTGCACCCCACTGGGCAAGTCTTCCTCTACAGAGATTGGAAACAACCTGACAAGATACAATGCCTGGCCAAAAAAAAAAGGTCACACTCTAATATTTTGTTTGAGCACCTTTAGCTTTGATTATGGCAAGCATTTTCCGTGGTATTGTTTCAATAAGCTTATGCCATGTCATATTTATTTCCATTAGCGCAAGCAGTGGATAGTGTGGTAACTCTGTGGCGTCAGTACATCCTGATCTACGCCTTTTCTCCTTTTCTCTTTAAACTGAGGGCAGTCCTCAGTTTTCTGTTATTTTTTGGGGCGTGTTGCATTCGTCTGCTGTGTCACCTCTCATTTGGACTGCTTTTGGATGTTCTGAAGGTTAAAGACTTCCCGTTTCCTTCAATGGATGAAAAATAATTTTTTTTGCTCAGACAACACTCAGCAAATATGCCGAACTTTTGTCCCCTGTGTGTAGAGGAAAAACTGTAGAGGAAAAACATTTTTTTCTAATATATTATACCGATGCATGGGACTTTTTTTTTAAGTAGCAAAAGTCTGCTTGCTAAATTGTTGCCTGTTGGCGACATGTTCTCTTATAGAAAATGGTTTAGGGCTACACCTGTGTCTCTTCAGACTAATGTAGCAAAGTCCAGCAAGGTCAATTGTTATTGGTCCCTAATTCGCCAGAAAGGATACAGAGAAGTGAAAATCAGTAATTTAATAAACTGGCTGGTGAGCCTCCATTATCATTTCTCTTTAACATTTGTCAATATGGTTTTTTTTTTTAAGGTTACACCAGCTCAGAGCAGCAAAATGAAGAAAGCAGCCATCCACACAAGCCGGTCATCCCTCACAGGAGATATGACTGCAGCCACACCTTCTGGTGCCAAATCAGGTCGACCTGGTAGGTATAAGTCACATGTGTACATAACCCATCGCACTCCTAACTGGAATCGAAACCCAGTAATTATAGGTGGGTGCAGCAGTGGAAGCCGATGGCGCCGCCAGTCATCATTCTTAAGAAAAAGTAGGAACCACTGGCACTCCAAATTTCCATGCGTCAAATCTTCTTTATTGACTTGATCAAGGTGGTCTCACAGTAAATGGCAACATTTTGGAACCCTATCCGGTTCCGTCCACTTTGCTTGCCCAAGGAAGGAACCGGATACAATGTGAGACCACCTTGATCATGTCAATAAAGAAGAGTTGACGCAAGGAATTTTGGAGTGCCAGTGGTTCCTACTTTTTCTTCTGGTAGGTATAAGCAAATTACATATTCACAGCCATTTATTGTCACACCACAGTTTAACTCAGGGCACCTAAATACATGTTATGTTTGCTGTCATCACCCCATTAAAAAAAAATGTAAAAGCTTGCCCGTCATAGCTGTGCCAGAGAGATCCCCGGGGGGGAGGGGTGGGGGTGTCTTTATGAGCTGTGAAAACTTAATGGGGGATTGATCCCTGTGCTTGTTTTAAGTAGGTTTTTTCTGGGGGGAGGGGGGGTTTCTTTTAAACAGGAATGAAAACAGAAATGTGTCCCACAAGGGTCACTTATTTATTATCTGGCAAAGTTAAACAATGACTCTGACCTGTTAGTAGTGGCAAGAACTCTACTTTTGTCCCCATTTTGTTTTTTATCAGTCTTTAATAAAGAGCCATCATAGCTTTTGAAAAACTGCTAGACCAGGGGTGCCCACAATTTTTTGTGTTGAGATCTACTTTTCAAATGACGAGCTACATGAGATCTGCCAACGAAAAAAAAACTCCCTCGCGCTCTCTCTCCTGGCTGTCACTCCTCACTCTCCTGGCTGTCCTTGCTCATCCTCCTGGCTGTCATTGCTCACATTTTCTCTCCTGGCTGTCTCTCTTCTCTCTCTTTCCTGTCTGTCTCTCCTTGCTCTCTCTCCTGGCTCTCTCTCCTTGCTCTCTCTCCTGGCTCACCTTGCTGTATTTTGCAAACAGTGTAGTGCAACAGGCTGTGTAAATGAATATTCTTTGATGTAATACATAGCACTTCAACCACCAGTATCCACCAGAAAGGTGTCAGGGAACTTGGCTCAGCAGACTCAGGCTAATAGGTAATCATGTGTGCACAGCTAAATAAATATACCAAAATGGAATAAAGGGGCCGCCATTCACACCCTTTGTGATCTACCAGCATCAGCTTTGAGAGCTACTGGTAGATCACGATCTACCTAATGGGCACCCCTGTGCTAGAGGCTGAATATAAGGAAGCTTTAAAACAGTGACATATTTACAATATTGTGCAAACTTATTTCTGGGGAACTTAAAAAATGACTGCATATCTTTACTTGAAATAGACAATGCTGTCTATATAGTATATCAAGTGTGACTTTGGTAGTGACGATACATTGTGAGCAGCAGTTAAAGTACTTTGTGAGTGGCTCGCTGTTCTCTGTAAAACACTGTTAAGGCTGAACTCCAGGCAAACTACTAAATACACAGATGATATACAGTATATAAATATACTGTTTTACCTGCCACAGGATTTTTATTTTCGTCCATCCAGTTCTTAGATTTACTCAGGTCTGCCAACAGAAGATGGTTACCTTTTTTATATGCCTGGAGTTTAGCTTGAAATACTTTTCTTTCTTATCCATTGAGGGATGCAGGAATTCTGAAACTGTTAGGTTATACTGCTGCCTTCAGGAGGATTGGACACTGGCACACAAAAAACTTGTGGGCCAGCCCTACTCCCAGCATGCCCCTGTTTTTGGCTAGTGTGCTATGAGTATGGATGCCTTTTCTTCAGCTCTGCTGAGAAAAGTCTAACCTATCTTACTAGCTTTTTCTTCAAGATTTGCTTCAATCAAGATTCCTACTACATTAGTGTTGAGCTGGTCTCTGTATGCAGCTGTTTGGATAGGCCAGTTCTTAGTCTGACTTTCAAGGTTGTACCTGGACTGGATGTGCAGGGTTTGACTGGATTGTGACTTTTGGGCACTGGGCTTTGCATTTTGGCACTTTCTAGACTAGAGTGTACTGGTAAAGTTAGCCAAATAGCACATTCCAGGTTCAGAACTGCGACGTACCTCAGTGCTGACCCTGTTTCTAAACACTCACTTTGTGAGTAGGCCATGTTGCTGACCACTGGGAGCGACCTCATTACTAGGACCACTGGGTGTCATTAAATTTCCCTTCCTATCGGCTCACCAGAAAAACAATAAAATTCAGCCCTGCATACTCAAATTGTGAGTTTGATTGTTTTGATCTGTTTATGGTTGATAAATAAAACTGTGTTAGGCTGTTGGAATTTTCTTCATGCCTTTACTTTGCATGATGGAAAGTACTTGTTAATACTAAGGAGGAGAGAGTGGACCTGGATTCACATGTTAAAAAGCAATGAGGGAAATATTTGTACTGGTATGTGAAGAGGATTCTCTTTTATTATACACCAGCTTTTTATACAGTTTCTCTCTATATATTTTTTCTTGCACATGAACTGATCGTTTTAGAACTTTGATCTCAGTGACAGTGATTAACAATCATGCATGGAACATACTTGAAAGTCCAACCAGACAAAAGATTGCGGATATTGGCTCATTGCTTAGTTTATATTGTATCCAAAGAGAAGGGAAGTAACCTGCAGTCAGTGATTCACTGAAATTTTGTTACATCCAGCGACTGTAACATTGCTAAAGAGGAATGTTTATGTGTCAATGTTTCAATAGATCAAACTGAAATACGGCTTTTCCAAGATCTTGGAAAACAAAACAACATTTCAGTGAATCATTGACTGCAGGTTACTTCACTTCTCTTTGGATACAATATAAACTAAGCAAGATTTGGCTCATATAAACGAAATGAGCCTATATCCGTGATCTTTTTTTGGTTGGACTTTCAAGTGTGTTCCCTGCATGATCGTTAATCACTGTCAGAGTTGCATCATTAATGAGGGTTTTCCCCTCATGGATACAAACCGTTTCACTTTGAGCTTATACTGGAGACTCTATCCCGACTCTCGGGTGTTTTGAACCAATAAGGGTTCTTACTCTTTCTAGTCTTACACAAGGATGAGGTGGTGTTGAGGCCTAGAACTTCCTTCCTACATAAGCTAGTTTTACCTCTCACCTCACAAGGTCATCATTCTTCTGTCCCTCAAATTCATCAGAAAAAGATCTCCCTCCATTTCCTGGAAGTAGTTCATGCTGTAAGAGTTTTCCCTGCTGCCACTCCTTTCTTCAGAAAGACTGACTTTTGGAGGCTCAGACAAGACCATCATCAAGCTTATGGTCTTAAAGTGACATTAAACCCTCAACCCTTTTTTACATAAAACAATAGTGTAATGTGTGCCTTACTGTAATCCATGGTAGTTTCCCTTCTCTTTGCTGCTCTTCCTTTTAAATCCGTATCTTTTCTCATGCTGGGCAGAACTTCTGTTTTGCAGCAGACTGCCTTGTCTCAGGAATGGATACACGGTGTCTGTGTGAAGGTTCACAACCTGAGCCAGCACTACAGGAAGAGGCACCCAGCTGCAAAACAGAAGTTTTCCCCAAGCATGAGAAGAGATACAGATTTAAAAGGAAGAGCAGCAAAGAGAAGGGAAACAACCATGGATTACAGTAAGGCACACATTACAGTATTGGTTTATGTTAAAAAATCTGAGGGTTTAATATCACTTTAAGGATTGGGAACTACCCTTTCCTGACAAAGCACACTCCACCAGATTTGTGAGTACATCTTGGCATCAGGTTTCTGTTTTTCAGATTTGCAAGACTGCCACCTGCTCTTCTGTTCTCTAAGTTTTACTGCGTGGATGTTTATGACCCATCTGATGTCAGCTTTGAGTGCAAGGTCCTTCGTGCTGCATTTTGAGATGCAGCCACTCGCCAAGTTCTGTTTTCCAGTGGGCCTGTTGGTCTGCTTTTGGACTTTCTAATAGTTTGAGCACTCCTGTGTCTCTCAGGGCCTGTTCACATGATATCAGGTCCTGATCAGGTGCGGATCTGCAGACTGATGCAGTGCGTTTTTGCCACGTTATTGCTGCGTTTTGGTCGCGTTTTTAATGCGTTCCAGTAAAAGAAAAAAAAATTTTTTTGCTGGAGTGGGGCTGTTAGTATGTTAGCTGCAGTGCAGTGCGTTTTGGATGCGTTTTGGACGCGTTTGCGTTTCATGACCGTACAAAATGTTACATGCAGTATTTTTCTGTCGTAACCTGAACGGACTGCACACGTGAGAACTGTAGTCCATAAAACACATAGGGATGCATTTTGAGTGCAGTAGCGTACGGATCCGGTCAGCACTCCCTTTTTTGGAGTCCATCCCTTTTTTGGAGTCCATTGAGGGACACAATTGTCCACTACTCTGTGTCTATGATCATGCACTTGGTACTGGTTTGCCACTAAAAAAAGGCATGCTAAGAGTAGGAGGGGTTTTACTGGGATGGCCCTCAGGTTTTTTGCTCAGCAGTGTTTCAGAAAGTCTATGTACATTAATGAACTCCAAGAAATTGATTTTACGTAATGAAAAAAACGGTTTCTTTTTTTTTTTACAGTAAAAAAAAATGTTTATTGTTTTTATGTTGCATTACAATTTTTCTGTCAGTTCACATTCTTAATTTTCTGATGTAGATCCGAAGAAAAGTAGCAGTCGTGCTGGAAGTCGCACCGGAAGCCGAGCCAGCAGTCGGAGAGGAAGTGACGCCTCAGACTTTGACCTTTTAGAGACTCAGTCGGCCTGCTCAGACACCTCAGAGAGCAGTGCTACTGGAGGACCATCTCGCAGAGGACTGTCTAAACCTTCCAAAATCCCCACTATGTCCAAGAAAATTACCAGCACTCCTAAAACTTCAGGCACTAAGAGATAGTCCTACCTGAAGGAAACTTTGGGCACAGGAGCAAATAGCCCGCCAGTGGGGCAGACCATGAGCTTTGTTTTTATAACATGCACTGTACATCTGGATGTACGCTTGTCTGAGTGGGGAAATTTCTATCGTCTATACATGTACACGAGAAAGATGTTTATAACTGCCTTATCTGTTTCTTTTGTTTTTGTACCTTAATACTTCCATGTGAATATTTCTGTAGATAAAACAAGCCTTGTGTGAATTCCTGGCAAGATTCAGGGGCTCTCGTAGAAAGATGGATTGTGAAACAAGAGTATAGACAACTAATGTTCTGACTCTGCAGGGTAGAAGACCCTTTTTTTAGGGTTGGTATCCTAGGACAACACTACTAAACTTTAATAGGGAAATCCTCTGTTTTCTATATGAACAATACTTTATTAAGCTGCAGAGGGAACAGAGACTGACAAAAGATTTCTTTTAATAACATTAGGGCTTTCTGTATTGACAGCACTTGCACACTCTGCTTTGACCTTACAGTACCAATTATTATCATCAAGTCTCTTACAGCAACTGCCATTGAAAAGGACATTTAACCACATGGTGTTTGGGAGCAGCCATTTGCGTGACAGTAAATTCCAAATTCTGGTGCAGCATAGATTAGCATATGCATCTACACAGCCATTTTGCACTCATCCCAGGTTCATCTGATTTTTCTTATTGTAAACTACATTTGTTTTATTTATCTGCCTAGTATATTCTTATTTATTATTTAATGGTCATTCCACTTAGGATTTGTGTGACATGTTCATTTCGGTAGACAAACAATCACAGTTGTGCATCAGTGAAATGGGACCCGCCAGCGAAGTTCCTCCCTCACATGTATCTACGGGTTACCTCCGGAAAACTGACCCTGTGGGGTGGAGTTGGTAGAGAGCACACATGGATCCCTCCTGTTACCTGTCATTACATCCTGTTCTAACAGGCTGCTGTGGGATTTTCTCAACTAGTTTGCAACAGAAAATAATGCTGTACCAATGAACTGTTAAATAAACAACACATTTTGTATTAAAATTGCTTGCAGTAACATCAAGTATACCTTGTGTATGTGTCTTCACTGTCTTCTAGGAAGGCTAAAGAAAAATACATTGGCAATCTATATACATTGAAATCTAATCTATAAATACTGTTTTTATGGTACCATAATATAATATGATTATATCAAATATGATTGTCAAATAACTTCTAGACAAATAACTTCTAGACAAATAACTTCTATAGTTATTATATAAATAGTCAGGGCTTTTTCTGTTCTTGGTTTGGTGTTTCTGTCTTTCTCAGATCATTTTTTTTATTTTGTGAATGAGGTAGACACTTTTGACATCCCCAGTGCAGACTGTTTTGTGTTCTAGTATGGATCTCGTGCAAGTACAGAGTATATACAGTAACAAAGTTATCTAATCTGCAGTTCTGCTCTGCTAAACTAAATTTAGCAAAATATAGGTAGAAATAGCACTCTGGGCTCTCCCCAGAACAGAGTCATGAGACTAAAACCAAGACATTGGTCATATCCCTCCATAAAAAGTTTGGTATAGGCAGTGAATGGATGGCTGTGGCCAAATAATTGTCCTCTCCTTCTGCAGATAACCAATGTCTTTACAGAGCCACTTTTAGAAATCATGGGGTCCCTTACAGCAGGATGTCTCAGGCTCCTTGACCACTGCTATATATTTCTATGGCAAACATAATGTAGCTTTTATGGCTCTTACCTTTTTAAGAAGCTCAAAAACAAAGTCCTGCTAATTGTATTTATTGGCACATTGAGCTCTTATTAAAACAAATTCCAATTAAACTTCTCAATGCACTCCAGATACTTGCTTCCTGACAGTAAGGAGTTAAACTTTCTTGCTGTTTTAAAGAATTATCAGAACTTTGTTCTGCTGGTCCGAGGTCGGTCATAGCTTGAATTTCGGTTAATTCCTGTTGAACCGACTGAGATTCAATTCATGGTTGGCCCTGCAAACATCATTTGACTCCGCAAAAGTTAACCTAATTGACTGTGCTGGGTAAAAAATGATGGACCTAACAGTGACTGTATCCTATCAGATGGAGTCACTTTTAAGCAGCGCCACTGTATCCAAGTGCCATGACTGCTGAATAAAATGGCCAGCAGTGGAGATTCCTCCATCCACACTTGGGTGTACGTTTAATAAACGGTGATAAAACTAGCTTTATCACGAGTTAACTTTACTCAGCAGATCTTTGTTTTTCTCGGCTGCACAGAGGCTGTTTAATAACCTGCGAAAAGAAAACTTATCACACGAGCTGTGAAAGGCTGAGATAAGTCGTCACGGTGATCAGTAGAGAAAGCAATGTGGGGAATGTATTCTGAGCTGCACAATGACATCCTTTGTGATAATCTACACTCCTCCTGACAGGATCAGCAGTTTGTGATCAGCGGCTATAGAGTCGGCATGTGACAGCTGCAGTGTCACACGTCGGCTCTAAGTATTGGCAAGAGTACATTTTACTGTCCAAATAGTTCTTCATTTAATAACTCAGTTGCAGCCCAGAAAATGAGAGCCTACCTAATGTGGACATAGACATATTAAAACCTGAAAGGGGTTGGAGTGATTCTGCTCAGAGATGCAGACAGTACTAAAAATTATGGATACCGAGTTCTGCGCGGCCCCGAAACGTTGGCTATTTGACGATTGAATAAAAAGTGCTTTACTTGAACATATCATCGAGTGCTGGTGACTTCTATTATGGACTGTATCTGACACTGCGCCATCCGTGTTGTCACTTCAAGCACCAACCTCTTACTCAAGGTCTGCACGCTGTATGGAGTGCAGGTGATTTTGTATTATCGAAGGCCCCGTGTAATGACGCAGCCCCCCTGGCTTTCTGATGGGTTGGAAAGCCGGCTTCATGCTCCCTCGTCACCTCATGACGAGGGAGCATGGAGCCGGCTTTCCAGCCAATCAGGAAGCCGGGCAACGCGTAATTACACGCCTAGTGACGAGAAGCATGGGGATGGCTTCCCTGCTAATCGGATAGCCGGGTGGCGAGTCTTTACACGCTGCCTGGCTTCCCGGCTAATCAGGAAGCCAGGTGGTGAGTCTTTACACGCCACCTGGCTTCCTGAATGGGACTTTCGGTATCGGCGAAAAAAATATCGGTACTTAATACCGGAATCGGTGCATCCCTACTAAAAAACCTCATAGTTCCCCTCCAAAAGCTTTAAAAAAATGTAAAGCGCTTTTAAAACTTAAATCCTAACTGCAGTCATAGAAGAAATGGGGGGGGGGAGGCAGTAGTTACTGTGATAGGAAGGTACATATACAGCAATAAAAACATTGCCAAAAGCTTTAATTTGTATGTCTTTTAATTCAAGTCTGTTTAAAATAACGTCCATTTAAGACTACTCTGTCCACTGGGTGACAACAAAGCTGTTCAATTCCACTGCAGAACGATCAGTGTTGTCACCCTATTACAGAAAGTAAAAAAAAATGACAACCCCAATTCCAAAAAAGTTGGAACGTTGTCTAAAATCTACATAAAAACAGAATGCAATGATTGCTAATCTCATAATCCCATATTTTATTCACAATAGAAAATAGAAAGCGATTTCAATGTTTAAACAGAAAATGTACCATTTTAAGAAAATAAATCAAGGTAATTTTGCAATTGATGGCAGCAACTCGTCTCAAAATAGTTGGGACAGGACAACAAAAAGCTGCAAAGTAGGTGGTACTAACAAAGAAGAGCTGGAATAACATTTTGCAACTAATTAGGTTAATTGGTAACAGGTCAGTAACATGATTGGGTATAAAAAGAGCATCTTAGAGAGTCAGAGGGTCTCAGAAGTAAACATGGGCAGAGGTTCACCAATCTGAAAAGCTGCATCTAAATATTGTTGAACAATTTCAGAATAATGTTCCTCAACATAACATTTTAAAGACTTAAATATTTTTGATCATCTACACCAGTGGTTCTCAGCCAACCACATTTGTCCCACCTCCCACCCACAGTTCGATTGCCCGCATCGGAAAGCGCTGTACCACAATGCCGTATGTTCCATTGCAGTGCAATTTGGGTCGTGACTTAATGACCAAGGACAAATGTGGGTGTCATTCAAATGAATGGCAAGGCAACACATCTCCCACTCCAGAATGCACGGTAGGTGCGATTGCCGGGTACAATGCATTAATCACACAAGACTGTGCGATTAGTCTTGCGATAAGACTGTGCGATCAAAAACACTGACAGACACAATCTCACGCGCTCACAGATACAATCTCACATGCTCACAGATACAATCTCACACACTCACATCCATTCTCACACACTCGTATACACTTTTTTTAAAGAACCACCCAGCACAGAACTGGAGTGGATCCTCAGCCTGAGGTCCAGTGTGGGCTGCTGTGCTGTGATGGAGCTCCATCATTATGTGCATTGGTTGTACAACCCCCTTGTGCACCCTTTAGAGGTGCCGGGAGCCAGAATGTGATGTCACTCCGGTCCAGTCACCTCTGCCGGCCACGCAAGGGAGCTGTAAGCAATGCACATATGGATGGAGCTCCCTCAAGGCCATAGCCCCAGCCCACCTCAAGCTGACATTCGGCACCGGGCAGCATATTTTGAATGGCTGCTTGGCCCGAGAACTGACCGTACTGGGCTAGGGGGAGGCTGAAGAGCCTCTCGCCTAAAAAAAAAAAAAAGAAGGCATGCAGCGACCCATTGGACATGGGGTCGCGACTCAATTTTAGGTCCCGACCCACCAGTTGAGAACCAAGGATCTACAGTATATAATATCATTAAAAGAATGTGAGAATCTGGAGAAATCTCTGTGCGGAAGGGACAAAGCCAGAATACAATATCGGATGCCAGTGATCTTCAGGCCCTCAGACAGCACTGCATTAAAAACATTCATGATTCAGTGATGGACATCACTGCATGGGCTTAGGAATACTTCCAAAAATCACTGTCTGTGAACAAAGTTCGCCGTGCCATCCATAAGTGCAAGTTAATGTTCTATCATGCAAAGAAGAAGCCATATCTGAACATGATCCAGAAACGCCATCATCTCCTCTGGGCCAAAGCTCATTTAAAATGGTCTGTTGCAAAGTGGGAAACTGTTCTGGGGTCAGACATCGAAATTTGACATTCTTTTTGGCAACCATGGGCGCCGTGTCCTCTGGACTAAAGAGGACAGCGACCTTCCAGCTTATCAGCACTTCAAATCCTGCATCTCTGATGGTATGGAGGTGCATTAGTGCGTATGGAATGGGCAGCTTGCACATCTGGAAAGGCACCATCCATGCTGGAAGATATATTTAGGTTTTAGAGCAGTACATGCTCCCATCCAGACAACATCTTTTTCAGGGAAGGCTGCGCATTCTTCATCAGTACACTGCTAAACCGCATCTATGACAACTTATTAGAAGAGTCCGGGTGCTTAACTAGCCTGCCTGCAGTCCAGACCTTTCACCAATTCAAAATATTTGGCGCATCTTGATACAACAAAGAAGACCTAGGTGTCAGGGTTTCTTACCCTTCCTCCTCCAGTCGGCTGCAGCATGGCTTGTCGCAGTATGTTTGGCACTGTTGTTCCTCTTTGGTGCCCTCTTATGACCAAATCCGTAAAGATTATTCTGCAACTCCTGCCAAGTTCTTCTCAGAGTGATGATGCAAACACCAGTTCACTATTTAAACTTCAGTTTGTCCATTCAGTCTCTGCGTGTGTTCTGATCTACCAATTGCTTTGCTGTTGTTTTTGTTCTCCGTGTATGACCCCGGCTCTGGCTGACTGATCTCATGGTCCCTGACTCCCGGCTATTGTTTACATTCATCTTGCTCTCATTGTTCCCTGACCTGGTTTGGCTGACTACCCGTTTTGGCATCTGACCCCTGGCTTGGCACTGATGATGGGACTTTCTCTATTGTTTATTGTTTTTAAGTTTGTCTGTTTTTTTGGTTCCCTAACACCAGGACTGTTGAGCAGTTAGAATCCTATATCAGGCAAGAATGGGACAACATTCCTCTCCCCAAACTCCAGCAAATGGTCTCCTCAGTTTCCAGACATTTATAGAGTGTTGTTACAAAAGGGGGGGAGGGGGGGCAACATTGGGATAAACATGGCCCTGTCCCAACTTTTTTGAGACATGTTGCTGCCATCAACTTCAAAATTTAGCTTTTTTTAAAAAAAATTTAAATGGAACATTTTCTCAGTTTATACGTTTTTAACCTCTTGCCGTCCGCCCGTAGTAAAAAAACGGACGGACGGCACTGCTACATCTGCGGGTTGCCGTCTCCAGACGGCAATTTTTTTCTGCTCGCGCGCGCCCCCTAGCGGGCACGGACGGGCAGAAAAGCCCCGACGATTAAACACACCCGTTACCGGGTGTTTCACATATAGGCGATCAGCGGGTCCATAGCCCG